CATTCCATGATTCTATGATTTGAGATCTGCTTTGCTCTACCTGCTCCCCATTGCTCACCTTCCCTCTCACCCACCTTCTCTTGGCAGCGGCGGGAGGTGGCCAAGACCGTGTTCTGCCTTGTGGTGATCTTCGCGCTCTGCTGGCTACCTCTCCACCTCAGCCGCATCCTCAAAAAGACCATCTATGACCAGACGGACCCCAACAGATGTGAACTGCTCAGGTAGGGGCCCCAGCAGGTGGGCACTGAGCTAGGACCCCAAAAGAGAGGATTCAGTTTTGCAATGTCTCTGCAAAGCTGTGGGTTAAGAAGGTTTCCTGGGCAAAAAAACATTCCTAGCAGGGCTGAAGGGACTGCAGCATATCCGAGAGCTATGCACTATATACCAGGTGCTAGATGCTTATCTTCTTTCTCCCTTTATCCATCAGGCAAAACCCAGTTCAGGCCAGGTCCTGCTGTGCAGGGGTTTGACAGCATCAAGATCAGAAGGGGAAATTAGAGCTCATGGTCTTGGCTTCCTCAGGAAATGCTCCTCACAAAAAAACCTTTTTTCTTAGGAAGGGACTATTTTGTGCTCAGCTCTGTTATCAGTCACTGAGCCTCCATAGAAGCAAGATCTCAGGCCAGACAGTTTGGAAACCCTCCCTCAGTTCTGTATGAGCTTCTAACACATCTCTCCCCTTCCACCTCAGTTTCCTCCTGGTGATGGATTACTTTGGGATCAACATGGCCTCCCTCAACTCCTGCATCAACCCTGTGGCTCTCTACTTTGTCAGTCGGAAATTCAAGAACTGCTTCCAGGTAGGGATGGCCCTTGCAGAGCTCCTGGCTACAGTGACTGATCCCAGACACCAGTCCTAGGTGCACAAGCTGATCTTAATTTCCATCCCAAATTTTTCCCTTGCTAGGTGCCTCTCCTCTCTTCCCAGCTCCAAGTACACTAAAGCTTGGTGCACTGCTATGGGGAAGCTTTTGCCAGAGCAGGATATAGGACAAGCCAAAAGTTCCCTGCCATTCTGGACCAGGAGCATCCTCACAAACCACTAGACCAGGGTCTTAGGCTGCTTCAAACTTCATGTCCAAGTTGTTCAGAGTTAATTTTCAGGAGTAGTGGAGACCTGAGAATGAAAGGGGGTGGGATGAGATGGGAATGCTGCTGTGGCAAAAAGAGTTGAGCCCACATTTTTGTTCACCTAAGGGCAAGAACACACAACTGTAAAAAGTGCCCTAGATTTTGGTGTTTTCATCTCCCATCCTAGCCCTATCCTGGCAAACTTGCTCCCAGCAGACCTACAAGGCAGCAAGGTTCAGGACTGCAGGTTGCAATTCCCATCCTGGCACTGTGCAGGGTGACCTGCCAGCATCAGTACAGGAGTTTCCTCCTCTTTTCCTCTGTATTCCACGTTTGTGACTTGTCTCTCCTCCCTCATATCTCCTCACAGTCCTGCCTGTGCTGCTGGTGCCAGAGGCCAGCCCTGAGCATCACACCAACGGATGAGAAGGGATCTGTTGGGAAGTGGAAAGCCGCCGGGCAGGAGCTGGGGTTGGACCGGAGCAGCTCCCGCTTGAGTAACAAATACAGCTCTTCCTAAGTCCATGTCATCTGTGGGGTCGAGGACAAGACACAGTGCCAGGACAGCAGGACCCTTTGACTCTCTCCCACAGCTGTTCCCTGGCTGGGCCTGAATCATTTATACCTTCATATCGTAACCCACCTAGGAGCTGCAGCATTCCATGGCCATCTGGGACCAGCTCTGACCTCAGCCTCTGCCCCCCACTGACACCCCTCTGCAGAAGGGGGAAGAGGATTCAGATCCTTACAGGATTTTTCATTTCCTTGCAGGAAAACCAAGTGACTTCTGGCCATTTGTCTTGGGTGGAACATGGAACGGGGAGAGATGTGTGTGGAAAGAGAAGGAAGGTTAAGATGTCACTTTGAGATGGATGTGGGATGAGGAGGAGAGGGAGAGGACCACGAGTGATAATTTCCAGCTGAAAAAGACCCCCAAAAAGCTTTGATAACATCCCCCTATCATCTCTCTGTGTTGCTGGGATCATTTGTCCCTGGGCAGGGAGTCAGGAGGAGATCCAGGCAGCAGGTATGGCTGGGAGAACATCAACGGTGTGAAACCTCTGCCTGCTTGTGGTGGGGAGATGGGCAGTAACTCAGCTTCCCTGTGTGACCAACCTCACCTGGGGAGCCCTAACAGCCTCCTCCTCTTCCTCTTTTCCTGGCAATTCTGTCCCAGGCCCCACCTGGGGATGATGTTCACCTTACCTGTGAATGGCACAAGCAGGTGATTGCATGTGACTCCACAGCCTGGGGGAACAGGTGCTGCTGGTGGCCGCATCCAGCCAAGCCACTAGCTCCAGCTTCCCCTCCCCAGGGGCATGTATGTTCCTGGCTGGCCAGGAATGCTCTTCCTTCCAGGGAAGAGTTGGTAAGTCCAGGAAAGGGAAGGCAGAGATGGATGGGATCCAGGTGAGGCTGACACCAAGGATCCAGCCCTCACATTTCCAAAGCCCTGCAGAACCTGGAAGCAGCTAATTCTCTGCCTGACACCAGGCAAGGGAGAGGATCCAGATATGCCCTTCCAGGAAAGCATCCAGTCTCCATCCACAGTATTCAGCACTTGGAATGCCCACAGCCTCCTGCAGGCCCTGGCTCCTGGGAGGGCAATCACCTGCAGCTCTGAAGCGAACAAGGGGTGTCCTGGATTTTAGTGCCTGTAGTTGATGTTCCCTCTGCCAACAAGGCTGAGCTCCAACAGGACAGCAGGGCTGGACCCTGATGTGTCGTGGCCACCATGACACCAAGGTCCATCCATTTGTGAGGGGACAGAGATGTCCATGTGGTCAAATGAAGGTGGAAAAGACAGTGGGGAAGGTCTGATCTTAGCTGAAAGAGCAACTAGAATTAACCAAAACATGGCCAAGAGCTTCCCCGCATTTAGTACTGACAATAATTAACCCCCTGAGTGATTTTCCAGCAATTTTTAGGGCCATGTTGGACAGGGCTTGCAGCAACCTGGGCTAGTGGAAGGGGTCCCTGCCCATGGCAGAGGTTTGAAACAAGATGAGCTTTAAGGTCCCTCCCAACCCATTCCATGATTCTATGTTTATTCTAAAAATCAAACTTTCCCCTTGCCAAAACTTTAAGAAAACCTCCATGAAAAAGTTTTAGCTACCAAGTTTTGATGATTTTTTTTTGTTGCTTTTCCCTTCTCTGTTTTTCCTTTATCTTTCTTACTTCCCCTTTTCACCTTGTCATAGAAAAAATGGAGAGAGGAAAACAGAAGAGACCTGCAATTAAAACATATTCCAGGCATTGGGGCTTTGTAAGCTTAGCTTTCACTGAAATGCAAATGTTTTACAAACAAATCATATTTCTGAAGGACAAACTGGTTTCAAGGAAAACAGAGATTGAGGAATATCTAGACCAGCCCATTCTCCATAAATTTCCCAACCTGTTGGAGTAATTTATGTCCATGTCACAGCATTGCTGCTGGGCTCTGCCCAGACCTGGCCGCATTTGTTGGCAGAAAAATGAAGTCAATGGAGAAAACTGATAAAGACTGATACGCTCCAGCACAAATACCTTAGTAACAGGGTATTTTTTTAATGACTGGGTGTATAAACCCCTGAAATCTATATATTTTATGTATTTGTCAACATTTACTGGCAAATGAAGTCTGAGACTTCAATTCACCACCTCCCACTGCTCTAAGGAGCTCCCACTCTATGGGACCACGCTGGCATGGGCAGGATGAATCCCTGGCAGCAATACGAGAGGAAAAGGAGCTTTCTTAGGAAATCCAGCTGACTCCTTGGCCTAATGCCTGTGAGCACCACCTCACCATGAGCCTGTCAGCATGACCCAGTCCATCAATTCCTGTCTGACAGAGTGATTTTATAGAGAAACCTGACACTCCCCACCCTCCCTCTCCCTCTGTGTGTTCATAATAAAATATGGTGGTGTTTGAAAGGAACAGCTCTGGGTGTTTGTTACTGAGCAGCAGGAGGGCAGCAAAGTCTGCTAAATGCTTCCTCGAGTGGCAGCAGG